GATTTAGGAAGATGTGCAAAACGGGAACATTCTACTTGAACCGCAGCAGCAGATAACAGAAAACAAATGTTTATCAAAAATAATGTGTGTGTGTGTGTTAAAAGCAGGGCAGCGGTCCGCAGCTCCCTCACCCGTACGCAGCAGCTCTCCGTCCGCCGTGTTGTCAAAGTGAAAGTTGAACAGAGATGAACCGTTTGGGCGTGATGCCACGTGCACAGCTGTGTTTGTGAAAGCGCTCATGCTCCAAATCTAGCGATGAGGCATTAAGTGCTTCGCTCTGGCTTTACAGTTTAGATTTTTATCATCTTGTGAGACATCGCTCCGCTTCACCTGCTTCTAAACCCAAGGCTGGTTCTGGTTCTGGTTCTGACAGTAATCCATGGAGACCTGCAGATAACGGTCGTCACCGCCTCATACCGCTTTACTGATGTACGCGTCTGTGTGTGTGTGTGTGTGTGTGTGTATATTTATAAATAGATGAACGTATATTTTTGAACGGTGATTTTAAGTTTGTAATTATGCTTTTAAAGATGGTTGTTCAAGTTTCCCAAAGTGACTCGAGGGTTCTAGAAGGTTCTTTTAAGGGTCTGCTGGACTGAACTGGTTAGAAAAACAATAATAGTAGCTGATCTCTTCTTTAGTCAAAGCTATAATTTAGTCATATTTTCCTCTTTTTTAGTCAAAATAAACTACTGAATAAAATGTTGCCGCATTCATTTGTTTAACCATCACAGAGTTCAGTTTGTTTCCAAATGAATCTAAAAGAAAGTTCACCTCATCAATAAAAACCTGTTAAATGTTTTATCTCAAGTAAAGTTTGTTTTTTCATAATAAAAGAAAAAGTTGTAGCTGCATTTTTATATTTTTATCATATTAAAGGTTGAATATGGAACACGACCACCTTAGCGACGTCTGGTGTGAAGAACAAAAGATTATTTTTAAGTTTATTTTCTTTTATTCACAAATAAAAAAACACAAAACAGGTTTGCAACAATAAAAAATGAAAAAGGAACAGAAAACTTCTGTTTTCTGCTCCCCTTAACCAAAATAAATACAAAGTTATTATAGTTAAAAGATGTCTGACCTGGTTTACTGATTCAACTACGCACACACAGAAAATAAACAAAAACAAATGTTTATTCTTATATTAATGAAAGGGGAAAACATCAATGCAAAAGAAAACACACAAAAAATAATAACTAAAAGAAACAAAGTAGAACATAAATGTGTGTTTTCCCTTTCATTCTCTCTACTTCATAAATACGTCTGTCTCATAGCGTCATAAGCTAAGTATTTCATTTTTAATATGTTTATTAAAGGTATGTATTGTTTTGGTATTCTTGATTTCAGTACTTTATTTATTCCACATTTTGACTCCGTATATTGAAACACAACGTTCCTTTATTTTTGTCCTATGTTTTGGTATCTTTTATATTTTATTGCCTTTCAAATCATAACTACTCTTTCTTTCCATAAATCTTATGATTACATTTGTTGGAAGGTGCTTTTTGTCGACTTTATACATACATTTCTAAATAGTATAATCTACTAGGTCGTAACGTTTTAAAGTTTTTAATCTGATAAATAATTGGCTGGATGGATCTCTGTAATTGCTTCTTGTTATAATTCTTATTGCTTTTTTGTAGGATGAAAACTGAATGTGTATAGGTTTTATATGTTATTCTCCAAATTTCAACACAGTAGTTCAAGTGCGGTACGATCAATGATTGTATAATAAATATAGGGATTTGTCAGCTAGAGACCATTTGACTCTGTGTAATATTGCGACTGATTTATCTATTTTAGTTTTGATATTGCTTATAAGTAGTTTCCAAGATAAATCCTCATCAATGATGACTCCCTAATATGTAACTTCCTTTATTAATGCAGATTTCGTCAAATTTTATTAATGTTTTTATATTCAACTTTCTATTACTGAATATCATAAAATATGTTTTATCTGTGTTCAACGAAAGCTTATTCCCGTCGAACCATAATTTGATTTTTTCCAACTGTTTGTATCACTTCTATCATTTGATCAATGTCGTCTCCTGAATAATAGAAAGTTGTGTCATCAGCAAATAAGATACACTTTAACATATTAGATGTAGAGACAATACCATTTATATAAATAATGAATAGTTTAGGGCCTAGTACAGACCCTTGCGGTACTCCACAAGTAATATTGTACAGATTGGATTTGATGTTGTTTATTTGAACATACTGTTTCCTGTCATGTCAATTTTGGGGTGTTGGTTCACTGTCGACACATGAAGTGACCAGCCAGCACCATGTCCAGTGATGAACCGTTCAGGGTAAGGGCTAACTTCTACTAATAAGTAGATTTTACAACAGTGTTTAATGTTGGAGCATCTTCTGGGCTCAGAATCAGCCACCGTTGGCTGATACTAGCCACACCAACCGGAGGCTCCCCCAGTAGGTGGGCATGAGAGTGACAACGTCGGCAAGCCAATCAGTTCAGATGTGGGTGTGTTGGGTCAGCTCAGCACGAAACGAACCACAGGGTTGCAAGGCCGGAAAAAGCTGTGAGCTCCGCATGGACAATGCCAACGTAGATTAAATGACCCTACCAAGGCCAGACTGAGCTGACCGTCATGTAAACGCTGCTGAAGTAGAGCCACTGCTCCTCCAGCAGCTGCTCTCCAGGTGAGAGGTCATTCTATCCTAATTCCTCCTGTTGTGGCCACCAGCGTGGCCTCTGAAGATCCAGGATCACCCAGCCCCTGTGATCGGTCCAGACACCGCCCCTCCTCCTCTCCTTCAGGCTGCTGATGAGCACAGCTGACCTGAATCCCTCTGATGAGCCACACCTGGGATTGTAGGTTAAACCCCTTCGGTTAGATGAGTTTAACGATTTTAAGGTTAACTCTGAGTTTGACGAGTTTCTAACATGCAAGGTTAAAACTTTCCTCTTTTATGTCAACATAGTTGACTGAGTTATGATCTTACTGATGTCTGGTTTTGGTATTTTAGAGGTTAACTGTGTTCTGGTTTTAAGACTTCTATCGACTCGGTCGTGTGCAGCAGGTGTTTTATTGTTAACCTTGTTCAGAGGATTTTGTTTGGCCTTGTTCTTATAAAGCCCTCCATCTGTTTGCTCACTTGTCTTTAGAACCTTTTTATGACAATGGAACCCATTTTAAACCCACTATCATGTTTCTTATGTTACCTCCTTCTTCACATTTTAACACCTCCTGTCGGGAATGTAACACCCCCATTTGTGATGTCACAAACAGGGACTTGTTGAAACGGCTTGTTTTAGGCCTAGAATTCCTAAAACCAGGCGCTGACCGAAGACGAAAGAACGTGTTTTTTCATATTTGGAGTGTTTACAGAGGCAGTGGAAACCCACATGGCAGCACAAAAGGTGAGTTATGGTCCCTGTAGATTCAGCATCATTTTGGTTTGTTCATTTGTGATTCAGAGTAGTTGTATGTGTTAAAAACACATTTAAAAACCTTTTGTTTCAAACTGGGAGGTTGTTTTGGATGACGCTTGCCAAATTTCAACCAAACAAAAACGAGGCCAACAGGCAGTTCCACCTTCAAACCTACACTCGGATTTCCAGTGTGTGCATCCATGTTGTTTTCCCAAGGTTAACTGGGAGACTCTTTATCCACGGCTCGCCCAGTGCTGCCGGAGCGGCACGAGTTCTGAGTGAATATTTATGCTTGTAAGACTTCATCAGATGATTAACTGTTGATTAAAGCTGAAAAAAGGACCAGCAACTTTAAGGAGCTGCCAAATCAGCTGAGAAAGTTTAGAGTGATCATGGTCGTTTACTCCCCAACTGTACATTTTCACCTCCCAGCTGAATGTAACCAGCCGGTCATAACATTACGACCACTAACCTGACCGAGCTATCACAGTCACTTCTTTAAAGCTGATTTTCACAGCAGGTTGAACGGTAAAATAAATGGCCTGTATTTGATATAGCGCCTTCTAGAGTCATGGAACCCCCCAAGGCGCTTTACAACACAATCAGTCATTCACCCATTCACACACTGGTGGGGATGAGCTACGATGTAGCCACAGCTGCCCTGGGGCGCACTGAACGAGACGAGACTGCTGAGCACTGGCGCCACCGGCACCACCGTCCACCTGCAGCATCCAAGGCAGGTGAAGCGTCTTGCCCAAGGACACAACAACAGACTGAGCGGGGCTCGAACCTGCAACCTTCCGATTATGGGGCGAGCACCTAACTCCTGTGCCACCGTCGCCCCAACAGTGCCTCTAAGATGTTAGTACAGCAATAATGCTGCTGAAATTCGCTGTACATGAAGATCTCCGCATATGAAACGAGTGTGACGAAAATAAAAGGCTGAGAAACTGGAATAGCAGCGGGAGGGGGGGGGGGGGGGTCTTCTGCATGCGTTCCAGTCATATTCCACGTTTGTGCGTAAAAGCCACTCATTTTGATAGATGGCTCTTTGAGAAGTAAACTTGGCAGTTTTAAAGATCCCCATAGCGTTTACACAGTACGTGTGAACGCTCAGACCTGTCAGTGAGCGGATCTCAGGAGAAGAGGACAAGAATAGAAACGTGAGATTTGGGGGAAGGGTTCAATCCTCCGTTTTTGTAGAGGAAGAACAGAAACTGTAGGAGGAGAGAAAGATGTTGGATCTGGATCCAGAAGGATGAACTATAAGAAGCTTGCAGTCGTGTAAGCAGCAGGTGACGAGCTGAAGTGTTTGCCAAACTCACAAATAACCATCTGATGAACGTCGGTGTTCAGCGTCTCGCAGAGACATCGGTCCCTCTATCAGCTACTGTGACTGTGTGCAAAGCTGAAAATAAAGAGTTCCTGTGAGCACGCTCTAATCTGCATCTTTTTAGTAACAATCAATTTAAAATGAGAAGTAATTTCTTTTTTCTTCAGTTAAAGCAGTTCTGTGGTTGATACGAATCATGTTTATGAAGTTCTTTCTACTAAATCCCTCTCACATAAAGTGATTTTAGCAGTTTTAAAAGTGACGTTTTCAGTACATTCCAGAATGAGCTCTGTCCTTTTAAGAAAACAAGTTGGAGCTGGCCACGCCCACCCATCTACTGTTCACTATAAGCTGAGAAGCTCTGATATCTGGGAGGGGCTCAGAGTAGAGCGGCTGCTCTTCCAAGGTGTTTCTATTCTACTTTTGTTTCAAAAGTCCCCATTTGTGATGTCACAATTGGGGACTTTTTGAAACGACTTCTTTTAGGCACACAATTCCTACAATCAAACACTAACAAAGATTTTTTTCACGTTTAAAGCGGCAGTAGAAAGCAACATGGCGGCACAAGAGGATGCAAAAGGTCCCATTTAAGGAGAGACTTTTTTGTTAATAATCCCTATTTTGCCCAAAGTAATCTGGTTCTGAGCTGAAACTAAACGGTGTTTTTCTTTGTCACGAATAGGAAGGCAGTATGTTTATCGGTATAATGCGCCACTGTGGGGAATTACGTCAAACACAGAAGTCAGACTTGAGAAACTTTTCTGAAAAACTAACTTTAGCTTTTGCTTCCTGTGATTTCCCCTTTCCAGGAGACGAGATCTCATTATTTCTCTTATCTGTTACCAAGTTCCTCTGTCATATTTATACTATTAACGTGTCCTCAGTGTTTCCTGTCTCTCATGCCCTGACATCCATCTCTTACTGAAGGACCAGTCCCTCCGTGTTCGGTCTGCCCTCCTGGTTACCATCTGTCTCCTCGCTCCAGCTTTCATCTTCACTCCTGAGGCCTTTCTTAACTCTCTGTTTTGTGCCTCTTCTGTTCCTCTGCAAATGTTCTCCTCTCCGTGAC